ACAACCAAATAATAGCGCATTAATTAAAAAAAATATCTAATCGACGTTTAAATACATATAGTATAATCAATATAACAGTTCATTAGTTTAAAACAGAGCAAACGTATTACAAATGTATGTACAGTTGTGTTCACTTAAATGGTAGTAAAATGTAATGACAATTTTTTCCTTCCTTACTTAGTTTAAATTTTATATAAAAATAAAGTTAATTCTATAACAAAAACCATGCAAGATGAAGTCTCAAACTTTCTAGAAAATTTATACAATTGTTACAAATTTAAAAAAAATTTCATCAAAATATCTAACTGTCCGATTTTTTTTTTTAATTTGGAGTAGGCAGTTTTGTAGCCCATACAGTTTCAGTAGAAGACGAGCTCGATTCAGAATTTGTTTGCATATTTTAAGCTACAGTGAGTAATTGACTGTCGAACAGTTCACATCTGCTTACTGTGCCTCTTTAGATATCTTTCGCTGTCATAAGTAGTGTTGTTGTACGTAATTTCGAGAAAAGCAAGTGCTTTGTATCTTCATTCTTCTACACCTAAACGTGCGCTAGTGTATACGTGATTTTTGTGGAATTATAAATAAAAACTAAATAAACCTACTCCACTATGGCTTCCGATCCAGGGGGAAAGGACCATAATTACTTTGCAATTCTCGGCGACGAACCACCTCCAAAGCGAAAAACACCTACATCAACCACATCCGTGACTTTCCCTACCTCAAGAAAAACAATAGACCCCTTAACCTAAGCCCATCTTCCTGCCCAAAATTTGTTATTATAAAAAATAAAGACAACCTTAATCCAGTAAAATCTTTCAATATATTCTTACTACAAAAAGCCCTAGAGTCAATTACAACTGAGAAACCAAATTCAATTTCGTTTACCCGAGATGGCGATCTGCTAATCCTCACAAAAAACAATCAGCAAACCACAAAATTTCTCAAAGCTACAAAATTGTCAAATCTGTGTGAAATATCAGTATCACTGCACCCAACGCTTAATACTGTAAAAGGCGTAATTTATTCAACTTTTCTATCTAACTTAACTGAAAGTGAAATTGTCGACGGCCTACGCCAACAAGGAGCAACTGAGTGCAGAAAAATAACGAAAATAAAAGAAGGTAAAGTTGTCAATACACCTCTCCACGTTGTCTCTTTCAATTCATATGAACTCCCCCAAGAAGTCAACATTGTTTGGCTCAAAGTAAAGGTGGAACCTTACATTCCATCGCCCATGCAGTGTAAAAACTGCTACACATTGGGTCATACTGCTAAACATTGCAAGTCAGAACCCAAATGCAACGTCTGTTCCACCACATATCACGACCCTTCTCCCTGCACAAAGGTTGAATGCATTAACTGCAAGCAACAACATAGATCTAATCACACAAATTGTCCAACTTTACAGAAGAGAAAAGATATATTAACTTTTAAAACTTTGAATAAATGCTCCTTTCGTGAAGCAACTGAAGCTGTTAACAGCAACCAAAAAGAATACACATCACCACAAGAAAAACTAGAAGAGGCGATTCAAAAAAAGACGAAGAGACAAATAGAACAGAAAACAAATATGTCAAACAATAATATCATTCAACATGAACCATCATCAAACGTCATTCCAGCTCCTACTAATACTACTGATAAAAATACAACCATTCACACACAATCATCTTTCAACCCAACTAATAAAAATAAACTCACCTCTTCAATAGATTCCGCCAACTTTATACAAACAGACAATTCACCAACTACCTCCATATATACAAACAACAACACTTCTCGATCAACTCCAAATGTACAAACATTACTGTCCCAACCAATTAACAACGCTTCAACGACACACACTACTGATGACAGCACTAACTTTTCCAATCCAAACTCCTATTTCCCCCTACCGTCAAGTTCACAAGCTCTGAAACTTCTCCCGATATGGAACAATAAAAACTCTTACTACCGAAAACCGGTTTTTTCGCTAGTAGAGTTTTCAAGTTTTCATATTTTCGCTCTCTATGGTACTTAAGATTCTGCAATGGAATCTCAATGGTTACCTAAATAATTACAATGAGCTTTGCCTTCTCGTGAACGAAAATAAATACCACATCATAGCACTCCAAGAAACTCCCCTCTTATCAAACCCACCATCAAATAGAGTACCAATAAACTACTCAATGTACAATGTTAATGACATTGATCCATGCTCAACAGCAAAGAGAGGAGTCGCTCTCTTAATACACAACTCCCTAGAACACACTTGTATTAACATAAACTCTAGAATTCACGCTGTTGCTGTTAACATTAAGTCACACATTCCCCTGACAGTAATTAGCATTTACATATCCCCAACAGACAGTATAACAGAATACGATCTGCAACAGCTTACATCCAGCTCAAACCTTCCTTCCCTGTTTCTTGGCGATCTAAACGCATGGAGTCCGCTATGGGGCTCACCAAATTTCAATAAAAGAGGGAGGATAATTTCTAATTTCATCCAAAACAACAATTTAACTATACTCAACGATAAATCTCCCACGCACTTCTCCACCCGGCCATCTCTGACGCATGCCGATCTTAGTTTCTGCAACCCCCCTCTCAATATCGCTGCGGCATGGAAAACTCTTGAAGATCCACATGGTAGCGATCATTTTCCAATCTCACTGAACCTCTTTGATTGCAAAAATCGCCCTATTACAAGCTATAACCCCAGGTATAAGTTACCATCAGCCGATTGGTCATCTTACCAGTCGCTTACAGAAAGACATATTGGGAATCTCACATTTAACTGGAACAATAGCAACCAATCAGCCGCGACATTCTTAAGAAAAATTAAACTTAGTGCAAATGCATCAATCCCTGTTTCCAAGCCACATATCCGTAGTCGTGTCACGTATTGGTGGAATGCAAATTTGTCGGCTCTCAGACGCGAAAAAGTTGACGCGTGGAAGACCGCAAAACGCAGTCCCACTAAAGAAAATATACTTCTTTACAAAAAAGCTAACGCTAAATTCAAGCGTGAGGCAAAAATTTCTAAACGGGCAGCTTTTGTTGAGTTTACCAAAGATATAAACCACCTTACACCTGCAAGGTCTCTTTGGAACAAAGTTCATATTCTTCACGGTAGCTTTACCTCGAACAGAATTCATGTGATTCGAACCTCTGGGAATTCCTCAGTATCTTCTCCAGAAGAAATCGGCAACTTCTTAGCAAAAACGTGGTCAGAAGCTTCAGCCAATAGCAATTTTTCCAATGATTTCGTCAACAAAAAAACCCGCGCACTTACCCCCATACGCATCGACTATACATTAGACAAAAAAGCAAAGCAAATTGAAATTCCTTTCACTGAACTAGAGTTGAAGTCCTGCCTCTCAACACTAAAAGGCAAATCTCCTGGCTTAGACAACATTCCCTACCCCCTCCTTAAAAACTTGCCACCTATTGGTAAATTCAAGCTATGCCAACTATACAATTTAATTTTCAACACCGGCACCATCCCTCAACAATGGAAGACCAGCCTAGTCATCCCTGTCCCCAAACAAAACAAACCAAAGGACTCTACAGAAGGATATCGACCGATATCCCTTATCTCCTGCATTTCAAAAGTACTGGAAAAGATGGTAGCGCGAAGGCTAATGTGGTACTTATTCAATAAGAAACTTCTCTCAAACCATCAAACCGCCTTTAAACCTGGTTGTGGTACAATAGATGCATTGTTAACGCTTGATGAACATATTAATACCTCCATTTCTCGTAGGAACCATTTTTCAATTTTGTCGCTAGACATGGAAAAAGCTTTTGACAGAGTGGGATTGCACACCATTATAGATCAGCTAAAAGCTTGGAAAGTAGGTCCAAAAATAATAAGCTACATACGGCAAATCGAAAAATACGTGTAAAAGTTAATGGGATAATATCCGAACAGTGGTCAATCGATAATGGAATACCGCAAGGATCGCCACTATCTGTGTCACTGTTTCTAATAGCTTTCGACCACTTAAGTCGCATAATAAAAGAGCACAAGTTTTTCAATCACGTAATGTACGCAGATGACATTTATATTTTCGGGACTGTCCGTAATTCAAACAACTTCTCGAATGAAATTAGCACACTATTTAGAAACATTTTAACTTGGTGCCACTCTAGCGGTATAAAAATATCCACAACAAAATCTAAACATTTACATATTTGCAACAAACTTTACTGTAATAATTTAAATATAACCATAAACCACAACAATGTGACAAATGTAAATAATCTTAAAATACTAGGATTAATTTTTAATAATAAGTATAATTGGAATGATCATGTAAAATATCTTTACGCGGCACTTCAAAATATATTAAATGTTATAAAATCTCTGAGCAATATTAAGTTAGAAAGTAATTCCAAATCCCTTGTGCAAATAGTTAAGGCTACAATCCTATCAAAGATAGATTACGCGCTTCCAATATTCAGTTCAACCTCAAATAGGAATCTATCTAAACTAGCATCTATATACCACTCAGCAGCAAGGCAAACGATAGGAGCTTTTCGTACCGCTCCAATTCTCAATATCCTGACAGAAGCTGGGCTTCCCACTCTAAAAGGCAGAATAATTTATATGAGCACTGGAATGATTACTAAGTTAGTGCATTCCGAAGGATCTCCACTACAAGCAGCTTTAAAAAATAGCCTTAAAAGGAAACGAAGGCCAAGAAAAACATCCGCTTTGCAAAATCTTATCGATATGGCTAACCAAGAAGACATCTACATTACTCCATTTTCAACCTCCCCACTTAGTGCTCCTCCCTGGGTATTTCAAAACACTTCTGTCATACTGGATCTGGCTAATCACCCAAAAGAAAAGACTCCACACAATGTATATCTACAGAAGTTTGCAGCCATTTGCAGCTCGCACGTTAATTGGACAGCATATTTTACAGATGGATCCAAGTATCATAATGTAATTGGATGCAGCGTAGTGGACAACAAATCGACAATTATGTCAGCAATTCTTCCTCGATATGCATCAGTATTCACAGCCGAAGCAACAGCAATTCTTTACGCTTGTCAAGTCGCAGAAAAAAGTATAACCAAGCACATAATATGCAGTGACTCCCTCTCTACACTGAAAGCCGTCATGAACGCAAATTGTGCCGACCCAACAATAAGCAGGATCAGAGACATTCTTACCGCTAATACTGGTAAAATTAAGCTTCTATGGATACCTGGCCATGTTGGAATACAAGGTAATATAATAGCCGACTCCGCTGCAAAGCTGGCTACCAGATCCCCTCTTAAATTAGTTAACACCACTAACAAAAAAGACATTAAGAAATTAGCTTATCAAAAATACATGGAATATGAAAACGAGCAGTGGGTTAAATATACCCATTTCTACAAATCAATAAACCCTGCTCGCCTGCCATCAACTGCACCAATAACAATAAATAGAAGGCATTACGTAGTATACACTCGCTTCCGCCTTGGACATACGAGAATAACACACAAATACTTATTGGAAAACACTAGCCCAACCTGCGGTCCTTACTGCAATAATAACATCCTCACCATTCAACACTTAATTATAGACTGCTTAGCACTGGAGAATATCCGTCGTAGTTTCACCAACCCAAACATATTCAACTTTCTAGTAAATATTACTCATACTAACATAAAAGAATTCATACAATTTCTATGCAAAACCAACATCTATTTTGAAGTGTGATAACTCTAGCTTTTAACTCAAATATGTAATTAGTCTAAGATGCTGATGGCCTTAGTTGCTAAAGCATATATTTAGATTGTAAGGATTAATTGTATTATCCTTTACAACTTTTAATAAATAAAATAAATTTAAGCTACAAATTTAAAACATATATATTTGGTGGGCTTATTAAATACAACATTCACAATACTAGAATTCACTTTTTGATGCGTTTGAGCGAAAGTGCGAAAATCGGCAGTATTTTACAACAAACATATGGCACCGTTATGGCGTCGTTTCGCACAAGCGCACAGCAAAGCAACAAAACAAACGCTAATTTTTGCCTTTCGCATCAGAGAGTGAACTGCCTTAATAAAATCTGTGGACATTTGACAAAACAACTTCTCTCGAGATATGACAATTTTCCAAGATTTCTACCATATACATGAATTTTCAATGCGCATATTTCTGTCTTACCGCCATATTAATATGACTTTGAATATAAAAGTTATGGCAGTCTTATAATAGTGTGTTTCATGGATTAAAGCTATTTTGTATGAAATTTATGTCTTAATAAATATTTCGCGAGTGGGTTGGCTGAAAAAAATCATGGCCAGGATATTTTTAATTAAAAACTCAAAAATTTATATTTTTTTTTTAATTTTGTACTCATTTGTTAAATGAACAAATTATAAACCAATCGGAAGTATTAAGCCTATAGAATGTGAAAACGTTGGATTGTCTATTTTATTCTGGCCTACTCACCGGGTTGGCAGGTATGAACTGGTAAGTAATACTAGTAATTTTCACTCATCTGTTTACATTGCACAAGAAGCACAAAAGCAGTAGTAGTCGTCTTCAGTTTGAAATACTATGGCTGTTCCATGTCCTGAAGTATTTGGAACAGGGCTATTATGTTGTATTGAATTCGGGCAGTTTTTTGAGAAATGTTACGAAACCAAGCAATTTCAAGGTGACAGCTTTTGAAAAATGGTTTAAATTTAATTAGCGCTGCATTTAGACGTTCAATAAATTGCTTCGTATCTGCTCACATGTATGAGTTGTCAAAAACCATTCATTTGAACATGTTAATAATAATAACAGATTGGCGGTTAGGACTTGCAAAACTGGGTCATGGTAACCCCGGACAGCCGCGAACTTTCTTTGTTTTGACATTCCCTTTGCACTGCGCCAAATTCCCATTGGAAGAATAAATGAACCAGTCCAAATGACGCAGTGCCCGTTATTTTTCCAAAAGGAATACCTAATTTCCCGCAGTGCAAAAGTATAAAACCTGCTGGTAACCTCATTGTGGGCCATTTGGATATCAAATATTCGGAACGGCTGAGAGAGAAACAAAAATAAAGTGAGTGAAGTGACACCGGGCATATGTGATAAAATAAGAAAAAAATGTGCATTTGAAGCTGATAAGATTAAATAAACGGAATTTTTAAATTTATAAATAGTGTATGTCATCAAGTAAATGATGTAGCCTAAACTAAAATAGCAGTGATCGCATTAGAAGAACTGCAAAGTTGGTTTTGAAGTCCATCGACCACGCGATAAATACGACTGCGTAGAAGACTCAGTTTAAATTGCTATAATCGTATAGCCTCAGTTACTTCGCAAACTCTATTGCCGTAATTAACCAACTTTAGACGTGGTGCGTCTATAAATACGTAAGTGCACCGTGTTCTATATCAAAATACTTTGAGTTTAACTCCCTTATGTGAATAAAAAGGGGAAAAAAAAATTTTATTTTTTATTTTTTTTTAAGTAAATTGAAGCTGCCCAACTGCACCCCGAGCTTCAGCAACCGTAAATACATCGGGAGCCGTAGAGTCATACCAAACACCTTTACAAGGCGTCCGACGGAGAAGCAGCACCGATATCGCGTGCCGGCAAGCAACAGCATAGCATCTAGAGCCGTGCGACATCCCTTCAACCGTCATCATCAGCACGAGTCAGGTAAGTCTTCTCGTTTTTTTTATATTTCTATGAAGATTATAGGAACCCAATTTTTATTGAAAATGAAGGCGTATTTTACAACAAAAAAACATCATTCGTCAATGTTATTAGTTTTGGCTAAAATTCATCCTTGAGTGCGCAAGGGTAAAATAGAGTTATTTTCAGTGTCCCACCAGTCACATGCATTCTAATGATAGTTACGTAAAACTGAGAAATCGTTTAGTATTTTTGTAAAAGCAATTTCATACATTAGTTTTTCGTTCTATATTAAAAGATGTCTTTCGCTGTTGTATAAGTTCCAACGACCAAGTTATACTTCACAATTGCGTAGCGGAGTTAGATTGAGGAGGGTGCAAAGCTTTTTTTTTCTGAACGCGGCCTAAGGCTGCCCATGGGGTAGGTGATTTCCGCAAAAATACGGTGGATGGCCTAACCCGAGTGTACATTTCCTATATCGAAATACAAATTACACTCCATTTTCAAATATCTGATCTGACTCGCTCTAACTAGTAATTTTGTTTTCCAGCGGATTCATTCCGCTCCAATTTGCGCAGATCAGCCGCAGTAACAACGCGGCAAAAACCCCCCACAACGGTGCCACAGCAGCGGTTGCAAAACGGGTGCAACAACGAGGTGCAACAACGCGCCACGGAAGCGGAAGAAACACCGTGCCAGCAGTAACAACCGCCACAAAGCGCGACAGTAACAACAACGCGCACCAGCAACAATTACGCGCGACATTAACAACAACGCGCAAAGGCAACAACTACCGCCACAGCAGCGGGTGCAACAAAGTGCGACAACAACGATGCGCGACACTAGAACAACACGCGCGAAAGCAACAAAAACCGCCACATCAGCGAGTGCAACAACGCCGCCAGAGTAGCGGTCACAACGCCCTACTCCAACAGCAACAATAACAACTACCAGCTCTAACCACTACCAGCTCTAACGACCACCAGCTATAACAAGCACCAATAACGACACCAGAAGCGACTACAACAACAGCAGTGCCGCAGACAATCCTGCTGCAACAAGAGTGAGTCCTTCGGGCGCAAAACTTAATCCTAAAAATTAAAATGTTTGTTTTTTTGAACGTAGAAAGCTGTAAACTATAGAGTGGAAATGAGGGAAGGAACAAGAAATTTTTAAGTTAGAATTTTTGGAAAAAAGACTAAGAAATTAAAAAAAGCAAAGCTAAAAATTTAATGCAAAAGAAAAAGCTTAGAGACAATTTAATAATAAAAACAAAAGAATTTTGTTTTATGTTTTTTAGTATATGATTGAATTTCACATCGCCCTCAGAAGAATTTTATGAACTGCTTGCATAATAGTACCTTAAAAGAGAGCCTTCCTGAGTTGTCAATCACATCTTGTTTAATACACCTGGTATATACCTATATGTATACGTAAATGCCTATATACCACTTGCATACACGCATGTACCCTGCAGCAAAATTTAGGGACAGTCTGGCAAAACGCTAGTTCCGCCCTACATATTTCAGAACTTTCTCTGAACTAGTGCAAAAGGGATGCAGAGCTGGACGGTTCAAACGCATGTGCTGCTTGTTGCGCTGTCATCAATAGGTTTTTTTTTACATTTTCGGGCTAGTTTGCTAGTAATGCTCTGAGAAAAGTGCATAAACCGTCGAAAACCACGGGAATACAAAAAACCTATTTTCGCGCCCGAAACTAAACATCAAATCGGAAAAATTTATAAGTTTAAGATTTGAGCAGCAGCGAACACAATAACGTTAATTTAATTGTTCTTTTAATGTTTTTTTTCTATTATGAATCAAAGAAAATCAGCTAAATATGCACATATTTATTGGTTAAAATTTGAACGTTTTAAATTCTTCCTCTTGTTCTGACAGTTTGACAGTTTTCACAAACTCGTCCGGAAAAATAGGCCGGGCCACTTCGGGCTAGTGAGAGGCAAAAATTACTCTCTCAAAGTGGTTCTCAACAGCCCGAGAACCAACCAAATAAACACAAATTGGGCACTTTCGGGCACCCTCGGGCGAGCAAACGAACAGACTAAATGCCGGTCCACATAGAACTTTCGCGTTGGCTTTGGCGTTGGCGTTGGTTTGACAGAACGCACGTTGAAAGTATGCTTGCTACAATGAACGCTTTGCAGCGAATGCTTGGGCCACTAAATTAACACACTAACGACAGGTAAATTAATATTTTTTATCAATAATTAAAAACGATATTTCTTGCCCGCACTTGATTAAAAAGGAAAAATATTTCAAATAATGTTATTTATTTGCAACAGCTGACGAGCGACGCACGCGAGAAGTTGAGAGTTGGCCATCTTTTTGCTTTGGGTTGGCGTGAGCGTTGTCGAATTTTGGCTATGTGGACGGCTGCATTAGAGCGTATTCATTTCGGCATACCGCACTGCAGTAAGACCGGTCAGTAAAATCTGAAAATTTACTGCACACATTTTAGCGGCGTACATAAAAAATAAAAATAAAGTAAGAAGCAAATTAAATAACATAAATATAACAAGCTATAACTCCAAGTCTCCATCTGTGTCGGTCTCCTTGCCGTGGGGATGGGGCTTAAGTGGTACTATGGCGGCTGCTTCGGCAACCGTCATATCCCCACGAACCAAGAGGGAAGCAAGTATGGTGACCTGAGGCCGCTGTATCAACCTCGCCCGCTGGGTAAGTGTGATACTAGCCACTCTGGTTTCCATGCGAGATCACCGCACCGAAGTCCTTATCCTTAATCCCTCCCCATCCCATCTTCCCTCCTCCCACCCTATAATCCTGACTGGGGAGTCTTTAACACCTCCCCCTAATCCGAGATAGCCCGTGTCTATCGGACAGGTTTGCAGTCGGGGGTATTCAGACTGTATTTTAGCGGCGCACCTCTCTGATACCTGCCCGCCTCAGGGAGTAACGGTGGGCTTACCGTGTTATTGGGGGCTATGACACGACGGACAGTTTTGACCCCTACACTCGTGGGAACTTACATGGATAAAAACAACAATAAAAACAAACAAAACAAAAAAAAAAAAACCAAAACTCGTACAAAACAACAGTACACCAGCGGGCTCTCATACCGCACCAAAACTGGCGGACCAGGTCGAGTCTAATATCGAAAATACTGGCAGCTAGGACCCGATAAGAACAACGCCGAGAGTTGACGGACGTAAGGACGGCAATGGCTCCAAAGACCCTATATTTGGACCGGCGCATCGGACAGTAGCAGGCACTACGCAACAGAAGGAAAGTCTGGGGCAGGTGGGATCCGAGGTTGCTTCGGCACCCAAAGATGATATACCACAGGCCTCGACGAGTACTGGACTGACGACCGGGCAGTCTAGGAAATTCGGGGACGTCAGAAAGGCCACAGGTTTGAGTGGCGCAGGAGCCAAATGGTACCTGCGTTACGTAAACAAAGGCTTAACGTCTGAAGAGGCCAAGAAGAAAGTACTGGACCGGGAGAAGTCCAGTGACAGCACTGGCGTGGTTGCGAAAGCTAGTCCTCCGGAGGGGAATCCGGAGAAAAAGGCACCCCTAGATCGGGAAAAGCCCGGTGACAGTAAACGGGTGGCTGCGGAGCTTAGTCCTCCCGAAGGAAAGCCGGAGAAGAAGAAGAGCCGTCTTGAAACAGTGGCTCCAAAACCTAAGGCAGGGGCTAGGAAGCCGGGTGTTAGCTATGCTAGCGCCACTAAGCGCATTAGACTGGCAGTTCTGCCGAAGGCTTTCCCTGAGAGTACACTCACTCGTGAGGATCAGGGAAAGATTGAGGATGCCATTGTGGAGGAGATGGGTAAGGGTTGGAGGTCAATACTCCAATTCGACGGCATCCACTTTCGGCCAGGCCTTATACTGGTCGACTGTTTGGATGCAGAATCAGCCGAATGGTTGCGCGAAATTGTCCCAAAACTGCCTGACTGGGATGGTGCGGAACTGACTACGTGCGATGGGGACAACATACCCAGGGTGCACGTAATCACTACGTACCTACCAAAAGCTGCAGGAGTGGACACGCAGAAACTGCTGTGCCTCATTATAGCACAAAATGAGGGAATGCATACCGACCTATGGAAGGTTTATAGGAGCAATGATGAGAAGACGGGCAAACTGCTAACGATCGGGATTGACGACCGGTAGTTGGGCGCTATCAAAAAGAAAAACTGCATCCTACAATACAGGTTTGGTAGTGTTCCAGTGCATGTGGACAAGGGCAGGGAACCGAAGGCGAAGATAGTCAAGCCAGATACTCCACCGGGTGGTTCGGAATTACCGAAGGAGGTGGCTGAGATGGTAGCCGTGGAAGCAGCTAGGAGCGCGGTAGTAGAGGAAGTCAGTCTTTTACCTCATGAGATGGAGGGTATAGACGCCTTCGACCTCGGGATACTGACCATTTGTGCTGACGACGACTCGGAGAGAGCCACCTTGTCAGAGTTTGACGAAACTCTGACAACGGACGAAGACGATGAACGCCAATAACTGCGACGATGACCAGCACTAAGGTTGCACAAATAAATTGACACCATGCGAGGGCCGCGTCTGCGGTTATCGCTAGGGCAACCCTCAGGTCTACACTGGGAATAGTGCTGGTACAAGAACCCTGGGTCGTCAGGGCCCAAATAAGAGGCTTGGCAGTAGAGAACAGGCAGGTAATTTGGGAAACTAGGTGTAATAATCCTAGGGCGTGCTTGTTAATAACTAATATCTTGAAACATATATGTCTTTCAGATTTCCTGTCGAGGGATCTAGTAGCGGTCCAAGTCCCAGTCAACATCAACGGGACCCTCCAGGACATCGTAGCTGCGTCGGGCTACTTCCCAGGAGATGACACGCACGCCCACCAGAGCTTGCCACTAAACTGGTGAAGTACTGCGAGGCTAGGAAGCTACTCCTGATACTCGGGTGTGATGCAAATGCGCATAGCGAGGCATGGGGGAGCAGTGACACCAGCCAAAGGGGTGAGTACCTTCTTGAATTTATCCTTAGAAATAAATTAGAAATCTTTAATGTTGGGAACATACCAACATTTGTGACCCACGCAAGGGAAGAGGTCCTTGATATTACCATAGGGAATACTCAAACGAAAGCGCTGGTGAAAGAGTGGAGAGTATCCAATGAACCCTCCATGTCAGATCATAGAATAATAAGGTTTGACATTGAAGCAACCCATAGCAAAGCATATAGAGTTTTAAGAAATCCCAGGAAGACAGACTGGGAGAAGTTCAAAGACAACCTGAGGTTGAATGTAGCACAACCTGGGCTAGGTCAGAAGATCAGGAACGAAAAAGAACTAGAATTCGCTACAAAGCGCTTCAATGAACTACTCATTGACGCATATGAAGACAGTTGTCCTATAAGTAAGGTACGTTCTTCCAGCGATGTACCCTGGTGGAACAACAACTTAAGTAAACTCAGAACCAAAGTCCGGAAACTGTTCAATCGAGCAAAATGAACCGGGGAGTGGTCAGAATACAGAAACACCTTAACTCTGTACAAGAAATAAATAAGGGAATCTAAGCGTTTAAGCATTAGGAACTTCTGTGAAAGCATAGAAGATACTACGGAGGCAACAAGACTCTATAAGGTAATGCCAAAAACGAACTGTATTTCGACCGCAAATCTACGGAAGAGTGATGGGAGTTTCACTGGGAGCGAGGAGGAGAAGATCAAACTTCTCATAGATACTCACTTCCCAGGATCTACATCTTATTCCGAAACAGATCGGACTGAACAGTGCAGTAAAATAAGCAGAGGAAACTGGTTAGTGGCTAAGGAAATATGCTCCGAGCCCCGGCTCAGGTGGGCGGTAAATACCTTCAAACCACTGAAGTCACCGGGAGCGGTTGGAATTTTCCCTGGCATGCTACAGCAGGGCTTAGAATGCGTGATTGGACCGCTATTAAAAATAATTAGAAGCAGCATAGCATTGGGTTATATAACAGATGCGTGGAGAAGAGCGAAGGTTGTTTTCATCCCGAAGGTTGGAAAGAAGGACCCACTTCATCCAAAATCCTTCAGGCCGATCTGCCTGACCTCATTTGTACTAAAAGCTTTAGAAAAGGTAGTAGATAAATATGTAAGGACTACGGTCTTATTGAACTATCCACTGAATTCGCGCCAGCATGCATATTTGGCGGGCCGCTCTACGGAAACCGCCCTATACGCGCTGACATGCGCACTTCAAGATAGCTTAGAAAATAAGGAGACTGCTATATGTGCTTTTCTGGACATCGAGGGGGCGTTTGACAACACCTCGTATGCTGCAATAAACAGTGCTTTGATTAGCAGGGGGGTTAACAATACCCTCGTAGCCTGGATTAATTGCATGCTCCGCACCAGAAGGGTAGAAATACAAACCTGTACGAATAATACAGTTGTTGCCGGAACAACAAGGGGCTGTCCACAGGGTGGAGTGTTATCTCCACTATTATGGAATATAGTCGTCGACGGACTGCCCCAAGAGCTAACAGATACTGGACTAACCTGCCAGGGGTACGCCGACGACATTGTAATATTATGCAGGGGGGAATTCGAAAACACCCTGTGTGATAGGATCCAGCAAGGGCTGAACGTAACCAAAAACGGTGTGCCAAAGTGGGGCTGAATGTAAATCCAGCAAAAACCACTATAGTACCATTCTCAAGGAAATACAAACTTGATAGTCTAAAATCAATAAGGCTAGATGGAACCAACATCATGTACCAAAAAGAGGTTAAATTCCTAGGAGTAATACTAGACCAAAAACTACTCTGCAACGCACACGTAGAAGAAACTGCGAAGAAAGCTGTAAGATCATTTATGACGTGTAGGTCCATGGCAGGTAAGAGTTGGGGCGGCACACCAAAGATACTGAGATGGATCTACACGACAATAGTACGACCCATGGTAACCTATGGAGCCATCGTTTGGGCCGATAGAACTTCAAAACTTGGAGCAATCAAAGTTCTCTCCAAGACACAAAGGCTGGCATGCGTATGCATAACGGGAGCCATGAGAACCTGACCAACCGCATCCTTGGAGGTTCTTTTAGATCTTACCCCTCTTCATATTTACATACAGACTCAGGCGAAAAGAGCTTTACTACGGATGACTGGTACCAATATCGGGACAGCAGGGTGTCTTGGTCGTGGGAAGTTAGATATTCTTACGAATAAGTTCACTGAAATTGCAATACCGAGGGATACCATGCATCCGATGCTCAGCTTTACAAAGAGGTTTAAGACTGAACTGAGTAATAAGAAGAGCTGGGCAGGCATATCCGAGACATATCGGATAAACCAAAACATGATTACCTGGTACACTGATGGCTCATTGACCGACGAGGGTACCGGGGTAGGGGTAGTTGGACCGAGGATAAGATACTCGGAACCCATGGGGAAACATATGTATATTTTCCAGGCTGAAACATACGCCATAAAAAGATGCGCGGACTTTAATAACAAGCGAAACTACCGGAATCAGAACATCGCGATCTTGACTGATAGCCAAGCGGCTATCAAGGCCCTCAGATCTCACCAGGTTCTCTGGATTCCGGGACATATTGGTATTAAAGGAAACGAGATTGCCGATAAACTAGCGAAGAAAGGTGCATCAACCCCTTTCACCGGTCCAGAACCTTTCTCTAAACTAGTTCGGCTAGAGGAAGAAGCTCAGAGGAATCACTACTGGGATAATCTACCAGGTCTAGAGCAGTCCAAAGCACTTTTAGGAACATATAACCTAAAACGCTTCAAGGAATGTATGAGCTTATCAAAGAATAACTTAAGAATTGTTACAGGAATCCTGACAGGACACTGCAGGCTGAACTATCACCTGACTAAACTGGGAATTTACTCGCATGAGCGATGCAGATTTTGCAGGATGGAAAACGAGACTGCACAGCACGTCTTAGAAGAATGTCCTGCACTGATGCATAAACGCAAAAGGCACCTGGGTGAACATCTGATAACCAAAGGCGAAGTGAAATCCGTAGACTTAGGTTCTATACTAAAGTTTCTCTCGGATACTGGATTAATAGACACACTATAATCCATGAAGGGGGTACAATAGATCTTAAGGTCGCAGTGCTCTATCCCCAACAATAATAATAATAATAACAAGCTATAACGTCTTTGTATTTGCTAGAGGATAATTTAGTTAAGCTTTAGCTTTAGTTAGCTTTTGTTTTTATTTTTTCTACAAATTACATGCCGAAAGTATTCCGACAAGTGTGCAAATTAGCTCAACGCGGGCGGAATCGTTTCGGTAAGCTAACAATACCGAGAAGCAAATAATTGTAACAATATTAAATTCGTTTCTATACTGTATATGACCACCCTTGAGGTACCGTCTTTCCGATAAAATAAAAATTATCGAAATCGGTTCCCGCTTTTACTTTTTTTCTAAAACCTTCAGTTCCACTTTTCCGATCATCAAAAGCTTTCCATCAAATTAAAACCAAATTCTAATTCCTTATTATACTGTTATATAATGTTTTGCAGTCCTATTATAAGCTTAAGAGTTATTAGAAAATTTTTAGAGAAATCGCTCGCAATTTCAAGTTCCTTCGTGATTCTTCTGTGAACTTCACCAACAAGGAACAACGGTTTTCTCTTTGTTTCCTTACCATATTAAAGCTTAATAAATATCAAAGAATATAAACCCAAACCCTTTTCAAATCCATATGAATATTAGAAAAGTTATAGCAATTTTAACGTATCGATATTATAGTTATAGCTATTTTAACGTATCGATATTAAATGTGCAGCTGCACAAAATTATCGAAAGTCGGCTTTCTCCAGCAACAGCTGTTTGCGCACATGTCTAGTAAAGCGTGCAGATAATTTAAAGCGAAAAGAAGTGAAAAGTGATTATTAATAAAATATTTTATAAAATGAGTAAGCGGCATATCAGAAGATTAATTAAAAGGCAGGCCGATGTTTATATCGAAACGTTAAGTGGTTTAAGTGAAAGTGGTGGTAGTGGGAATGTAATAGAATCAGTAGAAGAGCCAAGTGCGCAGTCAGCAATAGATGCGCAACTATTAGCTGAGAAGCTTGCAAATATATATAACGAGAACAATTTGCTATCAAAATTAACACAGTGCCTTCTTGCAAATTGTGGGAAACGTGCCGTAATTGAGATAGTTCCTACCGGCCATTACTGTCACATAGGGTCAAAAAACAGTTGGGAAAGTTGGCTAGCGCTAGAGATATACGCGAGTCAATTCTTGTGGATGTAAATATTGACGGCCTACCCCTCTACAGAAGTTCGCGTATGCACACATGTATATCGAATTGAATTGTACTGATATGAATTGCTGAGTTTTTATATTTATATATATGTACGTATACATACATTGAATTGTTATATATATATATATATATATATATATATACTTATTTACAAATACGGAGTATTGTAATTGGCTATGGCATTGGAGTACATAGGTACTGCGGAATGAACAAGCAAAAGGGAACAAGCGAAATAGTAGCAACAAT